GGGGGGATCTATCTGTCAAGTCCCGATCATATATTTGTAGTTGGCAGGGTTCACGGTGTGGAAGGAATGGTGCGCGGCGCGAGAGGAGCCTTTGCCGCGGCGCAGCCGACCGGCGGGGGCATGACAAGAGTGGGCGTAGCGGTGTGAAAGTGCTACACAGCGCGGAGGTTTGGGAGGTGTGCGCACTCTGCAGGCACGCGGTGCGCGTTGCGTGATGCGTAGCGGCATGAAGGTTGCGTGTTGCCACGATGTGAAAGGGGTTCGCAGAGTGAAGAAGTGTTGTGCCGTGGAAAAAACCGAGAAACGACCGGAAAAGACAGAAAAACTCTACATAGAGGAAAACATGAAACTAAACACAAAACGAACTAAAAGACCGAAAATGGGGGAAAAAGAAAGGCAAATCAAACACGAAAAATGCAACAGAAATGGGACAAACACTTGGCTGACAGTCAGATTGACGAGCACGGGGTGGTCCCTACGCGCACCAATACCTATTATGTGAGTCGTTTACTGAAGTTTAGTTAATGTTATATCATTACAATATTTTTTTAATATATATGTGATCATATTTTTAATTCTCCTTTTTTGTGTAGTGCGTCAATTGTTTCTTCTCCATTACATCAGACCACAAGCGGGAATGCGAGAGTGTAGATCCTGATTTGGCGGCGCGTTTTGCAAATACACTGGCCCTAATTAAGGCGGATCGGGACAAGGCGCAACATTGATGTAATGAATGATTCTTTCCTTTTTACTATACGGTCAAATCTTGGTTGAATTTGTTTTTTTTTTTATTGTATTTGTTGTTAATTCATTTTAATTTCAAATATTTCCAAATGCTATACTACTTTTCAACTAAAAAATTCCATAATAATTAGTGTATAAGTACTTTATCTAAAGCAAATCACAAACATAAGTTGAAATTAACGTATAAACACGATCGTATATCATAATATATCAAGATCCAGTTCCATTACAAATATCACGCCCAATCGATAGCTTCTTCACAACTATCAAATAGGTCATCTGTAGTAAAATAAGGTATGTAACCACAACCGTCTCCTCCGAAATCATCGAGTGGCACCTGCAATATAACGATGTATGTTAATAATTTTACAAAATAATCAATTATAACTTATAAATTGTACTTCCATAAAATAATCAATTTCCAACTTCTAACATAATAGTAATAAATTCTAATTTATAAGACAATCAATTCTAATCTATAATACAATAATTTCTAACTTCTAACATAGTAGTAATAAATTCTAATTTATAAGATAATTAATTCTAATTTATAATACAATAATTTCTATCTTCTAACAACTTCTCTTGTTTTGTGAATGCTTCGGACTTGGGTAAAGTCACTCTTCGGTCCGTTGGGGCACTTCAGGCTTCGAATTCGGTATGCTTCGGACCTCAGATAAGAGTGAAGTGAGTGTCCCTTGGTTACCGGCTTAACCGGTTGGGTGCTCCGAAACGATCCTAAATATTTAAGACAGATGAGAGCAAAAATACCAAAAGCGAATCGCCAGCAGTAGTATATTCTTCATCATTTAGCTAAACGTGAGATTTGAAGGGCTAGGTAGGAGAGTTGTAATAAATTGTAATTTATAAAACAATCAATTCTAATATATACCATAATAATTCTAACTTCTAACATAGTAGTACTAAATATTACTTCATAAGACAATCAATTCTAATCTATAATACAATAGTTTCTAACTTCTAACATAATAGTAATAAATTCTAATTAATAAAATAATCAATTCTAATATATAACATAATAATTTATACTAATATAATTTTTTTCAAACTAGTATCATTTCTAATCTATTTTTTTATTTTTATTTTTTTGCCAGAACGATAGAGGTGATATATATAGCAACTGAATAAATGGTTCGAATACAAGAGGAACAAAAAAGCCGACTTCACATAGCATTAGCTTCGCACGTTTTGGATTGCTTCCTTTGGATGATTCGGGAGAAAGATCGTCCAAAAGCTCTTTCAAGCTCTCGTTAAAAGATTTGTTAATCGGGGATAGTATACGTCAACTTCTGGTACGCATACACTCAAACAACAAACGGGTTACGAGCAACGATGATAAACGAAGGAAAAACAAAAACAAAAAGAAACACAAGAAGAGCAATTACAACTAGGCAAAACGCCAAACAAAGAGAAACATAAAAATCAAGAAAACACAAGAAATAAGAGTTTTACGAAAAACAAAGTGAATAAGCGCACAAAATAAATCCTAAACCTTCCCCGGCAACGGCGCCGAATTTGTTGTAGCAAATTATTATTTTACCGAGTACCGAATCAAAGGATTCGTTCCCCGGGTCGATCTCACAAGGAAGGTTAGCCTGATTGTAATGCACGTGTATTCAATCACAAGAAAAAGAAACAAATTTCCTAAACACTCTAATCCAGATGATTGGTTTTAATTATCAACTACGAAGAACTTAAATAAAGCAAATAGTAAACTCAAAGCGCAGCGATGAACAAACAGAAATAAAGAAGCTAGGGAGTCGGGATATCCGTTTTGGTTCGAAATGCAATTTTCGGACAGGTGATAGTTCGGCTAAATGATTTGAGTAACCTACTCGTTCAGAGATTCGTCCTCAATAATTTTTCGTAACAAGAGGACAAACGTGAATGGCAAATTAACGATTTATTTAACACCTAGACAATACAGTTCCGAACAAGCGTAGTTTATACGAGCCTATTTCGATCGACTCCTCCCTTTTCGGTTCTAAGAGTCGATTAAATTAGACTATAGGGTTGTTAACCGACTAATCAATAAGAGTAACCAACATAATGCGAGAATAAAGCGAATTAAATTATATATCAATTGGAAATTGAAGTGTCACCCTTCAACAATATAATTCTCAATATTCAAGCGTAATAATTGAAAAACCCTTTTAAAGATCAAATCGCAAAAGAAGAACGATCAACAAACACGACAATCACAATCGAAATCAAAACATGATCCCCTATTCCCAAGCAATTGAATTTAGCCACTCATAATCATCAATTCAACACAAATAATCATCTCAACCAAAGAATTCATATTCATCAATTAAATGAAATGATAATCTTTCGATTGATAAAATCCCAAAGTTGAATTCGATAAACAAGCTTAAATCCAAAAGCAATGACGAAATTCTAATGAAATCCAAGATCAAATGGTGATTTACGATGAAAAATATGAAGAAACAAGTTTTTGAGATGAAGGGGTAGGGTTTTTCTGTTCTTGAGAAGGGGGGATCTATCTGTCAAGTCCCGATCATATATTTGTAGTTGGCAGGGTTCACGGTGTGGAAGGAATGGTGCGAACAAGCCCCTAGAGCCTGGTATAGCAGAGTTGATGATTATCTTCAGAGTCTTGGATTTGTGAAGAGTCCAAGTGAAGCCACTTTATATGTGAAGAAATCAGATGCTAATTTAGTTATAGTGTCTATTTATGTTGACGATTTGCTTGTTACAGGAAGTGATGAGAAGCTGATGAATGTTTTTAAAGCTGATATATTCAAAACTTTTGAGATGACAGACCCTGGTTTGTTGTCCTATTTTCTGGGTATGTAGGTGAAACAAGGTACTGGAGAAGTTTTCATATGCCAACAGAAATTTGCAAAGGAAATTCTCAAAAAGTTTCACATGGAAGATTGCAAGGAAATCAGTACACCAATGAATCTGAAAGAGAAATTAAGCAAAGAATATGGAGTCGAAAAAGTTGATGAAGGATTGTACAGGAGTTTGATTGGTTGCTTGATGTATCTCACAGCAACAAGACCAGATATAACTTTTGTCGTAAGTCTATTGTCAAGGTTTATGAATTGTGCTAGTAAAATCCATATTGTAGCTACTAAGTGTGTGCTAAGATATGTTAAGGGCACAACTGATTACGGCATCAAGTATTCTGGTCTTTACAATTTCCAGCTTCAATGCTACCATAGTTTTTAACTCCAAGGTTTTTCTGACAGTGATTGGGCAGGTTCTATTGATGATATGAGAAGCACAACTGGTTATTGTTTCAGTTTTGGGTCAGGTGCTTTCTCATGGAGTTCTAAAAAACAAGATGTAGTGGCTCAAGGCATTGCAGAAGCTGAGTTTATTGCAGCAAATGCTGTAGTGAATCAAGTAATTTGGATTCGGAAAATTCTTGAAGATCTGCACATGAAACAATCTGAGACACCAGAGATCTTTGTAGACAATCAAGCAACCATTGCAATATCAAAATATCGTTTTTTTCATGGAAAAACGAAGCACTTCAACATCAGACTTTATCACTTGAGGGAGAAGCAGAAAGATGGTGAAATCAAGTTAATTTTTTGCAGAACAGAGGTGCAAACTGCAGATATATTAACTAAAACGCTTCCCAAAGCGAGATTCGAAGAGTTAAGAAATAAGTTAGGTGTTTGCAAATACTGATGCAAGGATAAGATTGTTAGTAATATGTCTCAGTAGTTTGACTTAGTCTTTTATTCTTGAGTATTTAAATAAGTCTTTTATCTTATCTTTTAGTAGTTGCTGATTTTCATGATTCAGTTCAAATTATTTAAATTAGTTGGAGTCATGCTTATTTCATTTGTTTTCCTCTATAAATATTCGGTATGAATAAGAAGCAAAACATGCTTCCAAGTCCATATATTTTCTGAGTTATCTTTTGTCTGTTCCAAGTTTTCCTATTGTTCTTTTCAGTTTTAAGTCTTTATATCAGTTTTTATACTACAGTTTACACTGATAAACATGGCTAGTTTCCTTGTCTAAGAACATTTGTGAACGGTCAATAGCTTGTCCTTGTTAAGATAAAATTATTTACGCAAGGTGCGTGTCAATTCAATGCAACAGAAAACAATGCTATGCCATTTGTTGCTCGTTAGCCTCAATTTTGTTGATTGTTGGTCTTATATAAACTCCCCTGATTCCCCTCCCTCCACATCTGACAATTAAAATTAATAGAGGAAAGGGTGGAAAAAAAAANATTAAAAAAAAAAAGAGTAATGATGAATACCTTAAGCCGTTTTAGTAAGAACATGAAGCACATAACCTCTTCTGTTCTCAATTTTCTCTCATCCAACTTTCACATTCTCCTCTTACAATTGAACCCATTCTGGTTACAACTCTTCTACATCACTACACTCTCATCCTTTGGTTTCTTGGCTTTAAAGGCCACAAAGCCAAGAACTTCGACAAAACCCAAAAATCTCGATCTTTTCTTTACCTCAGTATCGGCTTCGACTCTTTCCAGCATGTCCACGGTCGAAATGGAAGTTTTTTCAAACACCCATCTCGTGTTCTTGACTCTCCTGATGTTTCTCGGAGGCGAAGTTTTCACCTCCTTACTTGGACTTCATCTCATGAGAGCCAAGAAAGCTAAAAATTGTCTGTCCCGCTCGAACGCCACTAACCATGTTGAGAATTTGGATGAGAATGAAAATTTAAATTTGAATATGAAACTAAAATGTATGAAAATATTGTCCTGCACTGTCTCGTGCTATCTTTTTGTGGCCCATGGGGCTGGCTTGGCCTTGATTTACATCTACTTGAGATTAAATCTGGCCGCAAAAAGAGTTTTACAAACTAAAGGGATAAATCTGTCGACTTTTTCAATCTTCACGACGGTCTCAGCAATTTCCAACAGCGGTTTTGTGCCGACGAACGAGAACATGGTGGCTTTCAGGAAAAGTCCTGGCCTTTTGCTCATTTTAGTCCCACAGCTCATGATGGGCAACATGCTTTATCCAATTATATTACGTCTGACTATTTTGTTGATGGCGAAAACGACAAGAAGCAGTGAACATAAGTATATTCTAGAAAATTCAGGGGAATTGGGGTACGGGCACCTGATTCCTTGGCAGGACACTCTTTATCTGGGGATTACTGTATTTGGTTTAGTTGTTGTTCAGATGGCGGTTTTTTCGGCCCTGGAATGGAATTCTGAAGCAGTAGTTGGTGGCGGTCTGAGCGTTTACGAGAAGTTGGTTGGCATTTTCTTCCAGGTGGTGAATTCCAGGCACACGGGGGAAATTGTTTTCGATCTCTCGGCTGTTTCTCAAGCAGTATTGCTCATGTTTGTCCTCATGATGTGAGTATCATCTTTCTTTTGTTTGAAAGTCTCCAAAAGTTTCAACTGAATACACCAGAATTTTGAAAGTCTTAAAAAAGTATTTAAAAGTCTTAATTGAATACACCCTCCTAAATTTCTTGTCTGAAATTTTAACTAAAATAGCACTTAGTATAGAGTTTCTCAGTTTAACAGTAAAGGCTGCTGTGAGGAATTTGGAAATTCAACTTGCAATGTCCATATCTTGTTGTGGTAGTTAAGTCATGATATTTGCACAGTTTATTAGTATGATTCTTTTTCGGAAAAAAAAAAAAGAAAGAAAGTTGTGGAGATAAAAAGAAAAAGAAAAAAGGGAGTGGAAAAAAATACAAAGGCCGTATTCATTGAATACGTTTTTTGAATTTTTTATTTGTAAAACGTATTCCGTGAATACGAGTTCCTTTGTAAAAAAAATGTAAAAAACGTATTTAAGGAATACGTTTTTTAATTAAATTACACAGAAAACGTATTTACGAAATACGT